TTTAGCCGACGATTTGTCATCCAACCATTATATCACACGCGCACACACACTCGCAATAACAATTGGTCACTTTTAGCTGCCAAAACATACGGTATCTACCGCACATAGCGATGAGAGAGGCTCAGCAGAGGTCCGCAGCGGGGGGTCTGTCTCGCTCGAACGCCGATCAAACAACCGGATCAAGGCATCGATTGGCGTCGATACATCATCGATACATCATCGATACGCGAAATTATAGATTTCCAACTAAAGATGATAATAACATAAGGAGTAGGGCCGTCTATCGTGCGGATATATTTTTGCTATGTCGGTCCGGCTCTCTTACAAATTACAGTTCATACGCGTTTTCGACGCGTGCGACCCAAAATGCAGATTTTGCCACGCAGATAACGCCAGACAGTGGTGGAATGTAACGAAGTTGAAAGAGTTGAGAATCGAATGCTATCACCGAGTGGGAATATTGCAGGGAATGCAACCGCTCCTATTCTTGCTGGGGATGCCCCCCCTCCTCGTTCACCCTCCCCCACCCTCCCACCGCCACTCTAACACGAACTAACCCTCCCCCTTAACCACGGCAACCGCTATTTAACACACAGACAACCACACCGTCACCCCGGCACTGTTTATTATTATTATTATTAGTAGTAAAATAATTGTTGTTGTTGTTGTTGTTGTTGTTGTTGTTGTCACGCGCTGTTGTTGAGCATTGAGTCAACGACAGAGCAGACGCTTTCGCGCATCGCACGACGCATGCGCGGGACGAGCAGAGACGCACTGACTGTTACCATGGCGACAACGCTCGCGCACTCTACCCTGCTCTACGAGAGCAAGCCACAACCCTGGGCGGCGATAGTCAACGCCGCGCGTTCAACCATTATCCAGAGAGCGCCGCGTCTCAGGGAACGGAGCGCCGCCTACCAGGGTAAACCTTCACCGCTCGCTTCCCACAGACAAACAAACACCTGATTTCACGCCTCACACGGCTGATTACAATTACCTGATCGATTACAATTACGATTACAATGTCAGAAACATCCTAAACAGTCATGTAACCTGCTATCTCCGACAAGTTATAATCGGAGATATAACGTCTCTTTGCACGACACGACACTTCAATCCGAAAATGTTATATTATAAGCATAGTAACGACGTTTGAGACTTCAGAATGATGTCATACGCTACACATGACGTCCCCTGGTACCCCCCCCCCAACGACCGGTGGCCCTCCCATGGTTTAACCTCTACGTTTTCCCATATGGTTGCATCTCGTTTTCTATGATTGAGATATGAGTGGGGGATGGAGAAGATAAATGTAGGGGTTATGGGGGAGGCGGATTTACCTGAGTGGGGTGGCAGCTGGGGGGGTGGGCGTTGGTGGTGTGGTGGTGGAGAGCAGGGAGGCAGCGGGGCGGCGGCTGTGGGCAGGAGGAGGGGCTGGCGCCTTGTGGCGCAGGGGCAGGAGGGGCGGCGGCTGTGGGCAGGAGGAGGGGCGGCCGGCTGTGAGCAGGGAGGAGGGAGGGCCGGCGGCTGTGAGCAGGGCAGGAGGGGGCGGCGGCCTGTGGGCAGGAGGAGGGCCGCGCGGCCTGTGAGCCAAGGGAGGAGGGGGCCGCGGCTGTGAGCAGCGGAGGAGGGGGCCGGCGGGCTGGTGGGCAGGAGGAGCCGGGGGCGCGGCCCCGGCCTGTGACAGCCCAGGGGCCGTATCACCGAGACACGGACACACCGCGGAGAGACCACAGCGAGCAGATCAGCACCCGCCGAGGGGCGGCGGCTGTGGGCAGGGAGGAGGGGCCGGCGGCTCGTGGCGTTAAGCAGCGAGGGCGCGCGGCCTGTGCGGCAGGGGAGGAGCGGCGGCGGCTCGTGGGCAGAGGGAGGGGCGCGCGGCTGTGGGCAGGGAGCGAGGGGCGGCGGCTGCTGGGCTAAAGAGGAGGGGCGGAGCGGCTTGGGCAGGGGAAGGAGGGGGCGGGGCTGTGGCGCAGGCAGGGGAGGGGGCGGCCGGCTGTGGGCAGGGAGAGGCGGCGGGCTGTGGCGAGGAGGAGGGGGCGGCGCTGTGGCAGGCGAGGAGCGCGGCGGCCGGCTGTGAGCAGGGAGGAGGCGGCGGCGCGCTGTGAGCAGGGAGGAGCCGGGGCGCGCGCGCTGTGGGCAGGGAGGAAGGGGCGCGGGCTGTGGGACAGCGGAGGATGGGCGGCGCGTGGGCAGTGACGATTAGATTAACCTAGCCGGCATCAACGCACGCACACAACACAACACACACACACACACAACACACACACGCGCGCGCGCGCGCACACCGCCGCCCACGCCCACACACAAGTTTTCACCGCGTGCACACGGCAGTTTCAATCGATGAATTAAACATAATTTCACCTAACACACGCACAACGCCACCAGCACTGCCCATACGAATCGATGCAGTGAGTGAGTGAGTGAAGTGAGTGACCGTGAGTGAGTGAGTGCAGGAATCGTGAGTGAGTGCAGTGTAGTGAGTGAGTGTGTGACACATCTAACCAAACACAAGCACCCGCTTCTATATGCATACCTCGTGTTCCCCGAGTCCCCGGAACATCCTGCTATACCGCTACGTGCTCACACAACGGCTGGCCACACTAGCCCCCTTCTAGTCGCCACTCTCTTATATTATAAACGAGAACTGTATATATATATATTATATATATATAGAGTATTACTATACCAGGCCGCATAAGCTAACTAATTTTGCCTGAAAAGCGGAGGCCCACATTTATCATGCGTGGTTTGTGTCTCTGGCGCAGTTGACCCCGTAGGTCTATTGGCACCATGTCACATTTCCAAGGTTTATATGCATAGCACCTACATTTATCTGCGCATAACTGCTCCCCCCTTTTGCCTCCCTCAGTTAGCTACGGCCCTATATATATAAATTTATACTCAGGCGAGAAAACAATGTCACAATTATAAATTGCACGACTATTAAACTCCTGTTGATATATATATATATATATATATATATATATATATATATATACATATATATATACATACATACATGTACGGTACTGTGCACTGTGCACCGCTACACACGAGTGAACATGATTCTTTTCATCCACGGAAATTAACACGCGAAAAAAAACGTTCGCGCTGATCAGGCCGCACAACATAGGCTTGAGCGCGCTCACAAACTACAAACAGTGCCGACAGATCATCCGTATGCACGTCATCACACCACGTCACAACTACGTCACAACTACGTCACAACTACGGGCAGCAGCAAGAACTACGTGTGTTGCGTGGCAGACGCCGAAAGCTCTGTTTGAGGGAACAACACACGAACCACACGCACACACGCGCGCTAGCTAACCTCAGACGTGTTCACAGGAACACACGCGCGCGTGAGAAGTAAATCAGTTAAGAAGTATGTACAACTCGACTAGACCTCTACGGACGCGGGGCACGCGCACGCACGCACGTACACGCACGTATGCGCGCGTGTAAGCGCGCACGTACACGCATGTAAGCGCACACGCACGCACGTATGCGCGCATGTAAGCGCGCACGCACGCACGTACACGCACGTATGCACGCACATGCACGTATGCGCGCATGTAAGCGCGCACGCACGCACGCACGTACACGCACGTATGCGTGCATGTAAGCGCGCACATGCACGTATGCGCGCATGTAAGCGCGCACGTACGCACACACGCATACAAGCGCGCGCGCGCGCACACACACACACACACACACACACACACACACAGAAACGCACACGAGCGTCCGGTTAAACTTGAAATGAAATCACCTCAATGGTTCGTATTGGAATGTCAATTAGTATGTAGTAGAAAAATTGCAGACACGCTTTTATCAACCACTTGATTAGGGCGTTGATTGTAGGGGTACATCGCCCTGTCAAGCCCCCATCATTGCAACTCACATATAAAACACTATATATGGGACGAACTCCATAGTGACTCTCTAGTAAATCTATGTTACTCATATATTATAGATGTAGATATATCATATATCTATATATTCTCATACATATATATATATTTATATATTACGAGCGTACGTAGTATGTTTGCGGGCATGAATGCGCGCGCGCGTGTACGTCTGCGCGCACGCGTGTACGTCTGCGCGCACGCGTGCGTGCACACAAACGAGTAAGCATCAGTCATCAACGAATGTGCCAAATAGTAAATCACTATAATTAATATCAATCATTAGCTTGTATTTAGATGGATGCAAATCTCAGCGAGGAACACGATTTGCAATCTTGTAAAGAGTTCATAAGCCGGCAACATGCACGGCATCATCATCAATCATCATCATCATCATCATCATCATCATCATCATCATCATCATCGTTAACACTAAAGACAGCAGCACACAACCATAATTAGAAGCTCCACTACTCCAAGCATTCCAGCATCCAGGTGCGGTACACTCCGCTCCCAGACAGCACAGCACGTTCCCAAACTTTGGTTTCGGCCCGGACGGCCGGAAAACGGTCCGTCGCCATGGCAACTAGCTGTAGCGTCGCTGGAACTCGTGGTGCCATCTGTTGAAGTCTACGTGAAGCACGACCACGCAGCCCGTCGATACGCCGGCTAGGATAAACCTGCGATCGGTGGAAGAGGAAGAAAGAGGAAGAGGAGGATGAAGAAGCAGAGGAAGAGGAAGAGGAAGAGGAGGAGGAAGAGGAGGAGAGAGAGAGATTCATGAATTACGCACATGATCAGGTTGCAATGCGCAAATTGTCCATTACTTTCTCAATGAACCTCGATGGCAACTTATAATAATATCTAGGCAGAGCTTATTTTATCACGTGAAGTCGACTGTTGTTTATGAGGGTGACTTAAGAGATATTCCCAAGTGTCCTTTATAGACATGTGTCCGTTCTATATAGGGTGTCCTTTATAGACAGGTGTCTCTACTATAGGGCTTGTTTCACTGTGTAACCGCCACTCGAGGGAAACCGCAAAAGTGTGCTGTACGTGTAGTTTTTCACTCTAAGGCGATTACTGTTAACACAGGTCCTAAAACCGAAATGTGCGAAAAATCTACACACAAAAATGATCGCTCGAGGTCTCGCGACAGCCGCGCACTTGCACGCACGCACGCACGCACGCAGGCACGCACGCGCTCACACACACACACACACAAACACACACACACATACACACA